AAAAAAAAAAAAAAAACAAAGCCAAAATATTTTCCGATGACTAATTATGTGAGCAAAATAACTCAACAGCCTCTTCCTCCTCCTATCAGAAAGAAGTAAGCTTGCTTGATGGTAAGCACCAATTATGCTATTAGGTTTAACTGTTTCTTTTTTTTCTGTTAGAGAAAGAGTCTTGCTTTATTGCTCAGGCTGGAGTGCAGTGGCCTAAATATCCTGGGCACAGGCAATCCCCCTACCTCAGCCTCCTGAGTAGCTGGGACTACAGGCACATGCCACCACACCTGGGTAACTGTTAAATTTTTTTGCAGAGATAAGATTTCACTCTGTTGCCCAGACTGGTCTCAAACTCCTGGCCTAAAGCCATCCTCCTGCTTCAGCCTCTCAAAGGACTAAAATTCCAGGTGTGAGCCACTGTGCCTGGGCAAGTTTAGCAGATTCTTCTTACCATGCTCAATTTCCAAAAACACAGGAGGGCACAGGTGAGGCCTCTCATGCAGATCCTCCTCCTCAAGTGTCATCTTATGAATCCTAGTGAGATCACTGTGACATCAGTAATGATAATGTTCACCACCTGATCTGTTTTATTACATCACTCGGAAACATAATGACTTAGAATATGGGAAAGATTATTGACTGGCTGATTTATGATCAGATATAAGGGGAGATAAAATATCACAAAAATGCTGATGAGGAAAAGAAACTTAACATTTTGACTTTGTTTAATCTATTAAGTTCTTAGAGAGGTAAAATAGGGAAAGCAGTTAAAACATCAGGTACACAAATTCTGCAAATAGCATACAATTAGTGGCCTATGTTTGTAGTTGCCAACTGAGTTGCACCTAGAAGATGGTCTCTGAAGACTCAGTGAGTGCCATGTACCTCCTTCAAATCCACAGGGAGGGCAAGGCTCCTCACCCAGGAGGCTTGGCTTCTGTCCACTAAAACTCAAAGGGTCTGTTTTGAGAGAAGATGAGGGCCCCAGGGTCATGGAAACACAGATCCCCACTGCAGTTTTCCTTGCTTGTGACAGCTTGTGACACTTCTGGATGTCATGCCTGCAGTCCCTCCTGTGCCTATAAGTGTCACAATGCATGCTTACATGACCAAAAGCCACAGACATTTCTGCCAGCTTACAGTACACTTTAATGCCATGGATTCATTCTATGAATATTTCTTGAGGACCTGCCTGAGAAGTAAACAAGACAGGCATGAGCCGGGCTTTCCTCCCACTGTGCCACAGCAGGAGGTAAAGGTCAGCCAGCAGTGCTCTGTGAAAATTAAAGGGGGGATGAGTCAGCGAGCCTCAAGGCTGAGGTGAGACAGTGCTCAGTGAAGACATCTCCAACATGGTGATGTTTCAACTGTGATGCTAATAGAAAAGAGAAGCACAGAAAGCCCTCAAGTTTGTGGTTTTTATTCCACAAACACCAGCCCTCAGTGCAACAGTGCCAGGAGGCTGTGACCTGAGAGGAAGAAAGGCACACAAATGACCACAGTGAATGGCACAGAGCAAGGCATC